GTTGCAGACGCAGATATGAATCTGCAAGTCCTGCAATTCGATCCAGATAGTACGTCCCTCATCCTCACCTCTAAGCTTATGTATCCAGACAGTCAACTAACACATCCATCTCACAGACCCCAAATCCGAAGCCGGCTCCCGCCTCCTCCACAAATCCACCTTCCACACCGGCCACTTCCCCACATCCCTCCACCTAGTCCAATCCCATCTATCCCTCCCTTCCACAACCGACGCCTTCGCATCCAACGCCAACCCCGCCGCCGACGAAGACGACATGGACACCACAACCCCCTCCCCACCATCAACCCAACCTCCCCTCCACCAAATCCTGCACACAACACAATCCGGCACCCTCGCCCTGCTCACCCCCCTAACAGAAGACTCCTACCGCCGCCTCTCCAATCTCACTGCGTACCTCACCAACACGCTCGATTCGCCGTGCTCGCTCAATCCGCGCGCGTTTCGAATGGGCAGCGAGGCGACGGGTGATGGCGGGTGGGATGCGGGGACTGGGGCGAGGGGTGTGCTTGATGGGAATCTTTTGATGAGGTGGGGGGAGTTGGGGGAGAGGGGCAGGAGAGAAGGACTGGGTAAGTATGGGGAGGGGGAGGAGGGGAGTTGGTTGTTTTGGGGGGAGAGAGAGGTCCTGGGGGGGTGGGGGGTTTTTGGGGGACGGGGACGATGAGTTCGTTAGGAACTGTGTCAATGGACGTTAGACGTAGAAAAGAGATCAGTTAAGGATATTGATATGGACTACTTGGTGCATGAGGATCCAGACTGATGGGTTGATGATGGTTGAGTATACTCTGATGTCATTCTGGACTGCTGAAAGTTGATGGTGGCTAGAAACCGCTTAACCGTAGATAACCAAGAGTGCAGCTAATCAATGCGTGTAGCCTCTAGGCTCACTTTCAAAAGCTTTTAAGCAGGTTAGACGAGTATAGTCTCCACACGTAGTCGTAACAAATACTAAGCGCAATCCAACAGCGTTTGTAACCTTTCAGCCTCTCTAATACTAGATAAAGAGTGCAGGTAACTATGCATGTAGCTCTTAGAGTTACTTATAGAAGCTTGAAAGATGTCTAGGCGCACGCATGTAGCCGGCAAGTCTCCTTTAGCGATAGCTTTTTCGCATGTTGACCAGAGTGTATATGTTGCTGTTGCCTTGACGTTGTGCCTGAGGCGTCTCCTCGGCCCTACTATTGATCAAATTCTCCATGTGGCTGAGGCGAAGCTGCGCGATGGCGCAAGGCAAAAGAAGGGTCCCCTTCCGGCACCCGGGTCTTCGCCAATCTTCGGCGATAAGAGCCCTGCCTGATCGCCCCTCCGCTGATTGGCTCGGCCAAAAGCGGTCATAGCGTACCTTCATCGAAGCTTCCCAAGCAATGCGCAATGGCAAACGCATGTTCTCACGCCATGTACAGACATTGTGATAGTGAATCTCGGATTTCGCAGTGACATTCGATAGAGTGGAGCCTGCTGCGTAGTTTGGGCAGGCAGCCGAGCGGATTCAGGCAATCTTGGGCTGGCGAGGCAGCGTGGAAGGGCATGGAATTGTTTGGAATCTTCTCTCGCTCGGCGCAGCCGGTGCATTTGCAACATCCCGGTTACTACTTTTAAGTCGACAAGCGTCGCCCTCCCACGCACCCCAATATACACTGTGAACACGCACCTTGCCTCCGAGTCAGATACCCGTTTACTCACTTCTCGACCGCGAAGACTCTCCCGCGGCGACTATAGGTAAGCGCCTTTTTGCTCATTGTGTCAGCACTTCGACGAGTTACCCGCGCCTTCTTTCACCTGCAAGGCTGAGCTGCAACTGGGCGACTACTGCGACTTTTGGCCCCCTGAGACTTGACGCTGACTTGATTTAAGATCTTCCCGACACCGCGACTCGCGCTCTCCACAGATCACCCAGAGACCTTTCTGTATTGCCCCTCAACTCGACTTTTACGACCCCGCTAGCCCCTCGTCTACGCAATCACCACACAACCACGAACCGCGACCATGGTCAAAGACACAAAGTTCTACGATATCCTGGGGGTAAGCACAATCATCTCCACGAACAGCTCAAGGCCAGAAGTCTAACAATCCACAGGTAGCGCCAGACTGCGCCGAGTCACAACTAAAGACGGCGTACAAGAAGGGAGCGCTCAAGTGGCATCCCGATAAGAACGCCCACAACCCCGAGGCGGCCGACAAGTTCAAGGACCTCTCCCACGCATACGAAGTTCTCTCAGACCCCCAGAAGCGCCAAATATACGACCAATATGGCGAGGAAGGACTCGAGCAAGGCGGCATGGGCGGCGGTGGCGGCATGGCAGCCGAGGACCTATTCGCGCAGTTCTTCGGTGGCGGCGGCGGTCCCTTTGGCGGCATGTTTGGCGGCGGCATGGGCGGCGGACGCGAACAAGGACCTAAGAAGGCGCGCACAATCTCGCACGTCCACAAGGTCTCGCTCGAAGACGTCTACCGCGGCAAGGTCTCTAAGCTCGCCCTACAGAAATCCGTCATCTGCCCCAAGTGCCATGGCGCGGGCGGCAAGGACGGCGCCGTCAAGAAGTGCGCTGGCTGCGACGGCCGCGGTATGAAGCATATGATGCGCCAAATGGGACCCATGATCCAGCGCTTTCAGACTGTCTGCCCCGACTGCCAGGGCGAAGGAGAAATCATCCGCGACAAGGACCGCTGCAAGCAGTGCAACGGCAAGAAGACGATAATCGAGCGCAAGGTCCTGCACGTCCACGTCGACCGCGGCGTCAAGTCCGGCCACAAGATCGAGTTCCGAGGCGAGGGCGACCAACTCCCCGGCGTAGAACCCGGCGACGTAGTGTTTGAAATCGAGCAGAAACCACACGCGCGCTTCCAACGCAAAGACGACGACCTCTTCTACCACGCCGAAATCGACCTCCTGACCGCGCTGGCCGGCGGCCAGATCCACATCGAGCACCTCGACGAGCGCTGGTTAACCGTCGACATCATCCCCGGCGAATGCATCTCCCCCGGCGAAGTCAAGGTCATCCGCGGCCAAGGCATGCCCTCGTACCGCCACCACGACTTTGGCAACTTGTACATCCAGTTCGACGTCAAGTTCCCGGAGCGCCTGGGCAACAACGAGGATGGTGGGCCCATGTCCCCCGAACAGATTCGCGCGTTGGAGTCTGTGCTGCCGCCTCGCAAGGTACCGGAGTCTATGCCGCCGGCTGATGCTATGACTGAGGACTTTACGCTTGAGGATGTTGATGCGGGCGGTGAGGGCCAGCGCGCGAGGGGTATGGGTGGTATGGAGGATGAGGATGATGATATGCATCCGGGGGCTGAGCGCGTGCAGTGTGCGTCTCAGTAAGAGGTGTGTACGTACCATTGGGGTTCTGGAGTGGAGTGGAGTGGAGTGAGTGGAGTGGAGTTAGCATGATTTTACGATGCATGAATGCAAGAGTACGAGGTACATGGGGACGTGGCGTGGTGGAGTTTACTTTCTGCATTGGAGGTTTTCGACAAAGAGCTTCTGCGATACGATACCATATCAACGGGAGAGGGAGAGAGAGTTGTGTTTTTCCCTTCTTTTTACTTTCTGTAAGCAAAGGCATCATTATAGCTTTGTTGCTTGTTGCCCGGGCGTTCCTTTAGACAGGGGAAGAGCCACGACAATGGCATATCTTTGGTAAAGTGTGGGGTTGGTAGTGGGTGAATTGAGATGTAATGCAAATGCGATGGTTCTGTATTGCTTCTTTATGATGAGGGCAATCATACGATTGATGTGGTGGTTTGACGTGTGATGATTGATGTGATGGTTTGACGTATGAAGTCACTCATCATGACATGTGATGAAGAGGGGGTAAGTTCATGGGATATTTGATTACTAGTAAGACCGAGGAGACGCCTTGAGCGAGACGTCATGGCAACGGGCGGATGGTGCATTGTCATGTACAACGCCATCTGCTCAGGGATATCTCCAACGACTTAGTGAGTCAAGTGAGTTGTTGCCTGACATTATCAAGACTTATCCGTGTAATTCTTCAACCACTCCAGCCAACACTTCGCACAATACGAAGATTACATAGCAGCCGTGTTGCTATTTGGAAGCTCAAACTCCCAACTTACATCCCGCATAAGCTCAACTTGCTCCCGTGTCCGCCGATCCAGAAAGACTTGAAGGTCTCTTAAACGCGTCGTCGAGACTTCAAACTTGTTGAGTAAGTATGGTAGTATGGCGACCTCGGAGTAAATTTGCCGGCATACGAAGAGCAGAGAGGCGGATGGGTAGGGTCCTTTGCTGGGGATACTTTGGTTGTGGGTGTCGACGGGGTAGGCTATGGTTATGGTGGAGTTAGACATGGCGTAGGAGAAGATTTCGTTTCGTATCTCCGCGGGGAGACGGAGGAGGGGGGAGGTTGTTGCGTTGCGCTCGAAGCTATGAGAGTCAGTAAAGATGGCTTGATCTCAAGTAGACACTGATTTACATCTCATTTGAGCGTTGGGTCTGCTGCGCGACTCTCAGCTCGGCCTCCGACTGGGCTGTGCAGACGGGCATGCTGAAGCTGTCGCCTGTGTGCAGGTAGCTGGTGGGGTGATGTGTAGGAGTCTGGCGTAGATATCAAAAACCGGCTACTGGACCGCGAGTGTGATGTATGAGCCTGGGTGTGGTGTGTAAGCGCGCTTGTAGTAGTAGTAGGTGTATGTAGTAGGCGACTGTATTTATTACCTGGTAGTGGCTACAAGGTGAGTGTAGAAGGGAAGGGGCATTGGAACAAGAAAGCGATGTATTGACTAGTCTACGCGCTAGTCGCAAAGGGTAGGTGAAGGTGACGCAGCCGTCTTTTGGATCTCTACTGCACTACTTGGCTGTCACACAGAACTTGGAAGACGCCGTTGTAGAGGGAAGCACACTGTGCACAGATACTCTGGACTAAGAGACAGTGATGTCCGCCTGTTGCACTGACGACGTCAAACTGACCACACACCTCGCATCGATCGTCGCTACCATCTACTCCCGCCCTTCAAGTCTCCTTCTCCAGCATTTCCTTGAGATACGCCATCCATTTGGCAGCAGATGCTACGTGCACTTGATGGCCGTGATTACTGAGCTTGCACATCACTTTGACCATGAGATCAAGTTGATCTGGCGTTCGCTGGTTCAGAAAGTCGCCGAGATCGGCATAGCGATGGAAATTGATGGAGAAAACGTTGAGTTTGTATGGTAGTAAGGCCACCTCCGACGTGATCTGGCGGCAGACAAAGAGCAGAGGTTCACTATGGCGTGGCTCAGATGCGGCGATGCCTGTCTGCTTGTGGTATTTCTGGTGTAGGTTGATGGTTTCATGATACATGGCGTACTCGAAGATCATGTTTCGCAGTTCTGCGGGGAGCAGGAGCAGAGGTGAAGTTATCGCGTTGAGGCAAGTGCTAAAGGAAGATGTCAGCATCACTCGAAGGGAGCTCGTTGATAGCTAGCTCACATTTCATGGGAGCGTTGCTTCATATCTTCTGGTTGCGCTTTGTGCACGGACATGCTAGAGTCGTAGGCGTCCCCGGTGTTCCTTGATGCCGCGGACGGAGGCTGGGAGGTGAGTGTAGAGGGGAAGAAGGATTGAAGCAAATGAGAAACAGAAGGGTAATTTTTGGCAAGCGCGCTAGTCGCGAACGGCAGGTGAAGGCGACTGCCATGTCTTTTTCGCCTATGCTACACCGCTGCGCTGCTATAGAGACATCGGAAAGGAACCCGCTGGAAAGAGACAACAGTCCGAAGAACTCCAATCCATGCTCTTGTAATCGCTACTCCTCATTCTGAGCTAAAAGCTTGGAGTTCATAGACTTGAATATCCTTGCAGCTGCCAACCTGTACTTCTCCTCATACTGCCACCACTCCAGTCCACATAGCACGAACTCCACAAGGTCTGTCGTCCGAAGAACTTCCATATCGATCATAACACCAAGTTGGTCTTGTGTGCGTCGCTGAAGGAACGGCAAGAGAAGTTCGCCCCAGTTGGATACCGCGAAGAAGTTGAGTTCGTATGGCAGTAGCGCAGTCTCGGCATGTATCTGACGGCAGACGCGGAGCAGATTGACTGGTGATCGAACTTTGTTGTACATGCGCCCGCGGACTATGATGATATCTTGGTGGTCGAGAGCAAGGGCGAAGATTATGTTCCTGATTTCAGCTGGGAGGAGAAGTAGAGGCGAGGTTGTTGCGTTGAGGTAGGTGCTTTTTGAAGGATTGAGTTAGCAATAGTCAACAAGATACCATGACAGGGCAACTCACATCTCGTTCAGTCGTTGCTCTTGTTCCGCGGCCTTGATCCTGAGCTCTTCTTCAATCGCCGACTTCTCTTCAATACTGAGCACCTCTTCACTGTTGGGCTCGCCTTCGGTATTGTGGTCCTCTTCGAACTCTAGCTCCACTTCGGTCTCGAGCTTCTCTGCTTGCGCTTCGGCGGAATTCATGCTGGAGCTGGTGTCCTCTTGCTGCTCTTCGGGGAGCGACATACTGAGCTTGTGTTTGGTATTAGGTAGCTGACGGAGGCGGGAGGTGAGTATAGAAGAGAAGGAAGGGCGGGGAAGAGAGGTATATATAATTGCTCGTCAGCGCGCTAGTTTAACAGCACGAAGGACAGGTAAAAGTAAAGCTGAGAGTCCGAGAGCCGATCTTATCGCTCACTACACGACCTCGCTGCAAGTAAGAGAGAAGTTGGAAAAAAGCACCCCTGTGCAACGGCATTGACAACCAAAGAGACATCCATGATGGCATTCCCGAGCTCGAAACCTGAAATCGACGCTTTCAGCATCTGACTCAGCTGCGCCCTAAGAGCACCCGCCTAATCTCCAGCCATTCAGTTGCAGACCTCTCACGTTTAGAAGACCTATACCTCCGTACACTGGTCATGACACCAATCTGAGCCGGTGTTCGAGCCTCGAGAAATGAAAATAGTCCGCCGGAGCTGGTGATGGTAAAAGCATCCTGCATAAATCCTAAGAGAGGTTTGGTGACGATGAATGTGTTGAGAGCGTATGGGACGAGCGAGGTCTCGGCGTGGATTTGACGGCAGACCCGGACCAGGTTGGTTGGTTGTTTAACGTTGGTGAGAACTCCATCAATTATGTAGACCTCATGATGGGTGAGAGCTAACGCAAAGATCATGTTGCGAATCTCCCCTGGAAGGCGTAGAAGCGGGGATGTTGTTGTGTTGAGATACGTGCTGTAAGCGACGTACGTCAGTATCTATCGAAATGATCAGTTTAAGAGAGAACTTACATTTGGTTCAGCCGTAGTTCCTGCTGCGCGGCCTCGACTTTCAACTTCTCCGCACGCTGTATGATTGCGCGCTCCTTGTTCACCTCCTTCCTGGAGGAGTCCATGCTGGCGTACTTTGGTTGCATCTCAGAAATGAACGCGCTAGAGTAGGGGTTGGGGTGTGAGCAGATAACTAACGGAGGTACGGAGGTGAGTGTTGAAGCGAAGGAAAGTCTGTGATGGGGGATATAATTGAGACTAGTCAGCGCGCTAGTTGGCGATCCCGAAGAACAGATGAAGTTGGGAATCTAGAGCTGTCTCACTTTTGGATTGCGCCCGCTGCTCCCACGTAGGAGAACTGCTAGAAAAAAGCAGGCCTGGATCAAGAAATTGGCCACGGTTATGTATGACACGATGTAGCCTCAACATAGAGACAGAGCTGAAATGCGCGGCGCCTTCCATCTGCCATAGTGATCTATGCTCGCGAGTCCATGTCCTTATGTCTTATTAGGACACCCTTGCTTCTATGTCGCAATCGATCCAACCATTCACTCGCGGTTCGCACGCCCATCATCATCCGCGGGCCCCTCTCAACTCTCGCCATAGCGCCAATTTGTGCCGTTGTTCTACGTTCAAAGAAGTCTTTGGCAGCGTTGTAGTGACCGTAGACCACAAAGACATTGAGCTCGTACGGAAATAGAGCGGTCTCGAGGTGAATTTGGCGACACACGTAGAGCAGACTGACGTTGACAGGATCTGGCCAGCTGCGATGCTTCCAGCAGCCTGTTCCACCGGATCCGTCTTGTATACTGGGAATTATGTGTAGCTTGGTGTCGCCGTGACTCAGGGCGTAGGCGAAGATCATGTTTCTAATTTCTGCGGGGAGACGAAGAAGTGGGGAGGCGGTAGCATTGCGTTGAGTACTGCAATCACTGATTAGCACCTGCTCCCAAGAGCCTGCCTTACTCTGTGACCTACATGTGAGCGCGCGTTTCTTCCGGTTGACTCTCTGTGTTCATGGTGGCGTCGGCGTTGGTATTAAGTGTTGTGAGATATAGGTGCAAGTATGCTTGTATTGTAATGTCTACCGACTAACTAGTGTGGAAGTAGGAACTAAGTACCCATCAAGGAATCACGTGACAAGTGTTGCTGGGCGGTTTACAGATGTGGGTGTTGGAGTAGAGGGCATCGGGAGGGCTGAAAAAGGAGAGATGGTCATTCGCAGCCAGTGCGCAGGTCGCACAAGGTAGGTGCACGGGACAAGTAGCTCTACACCTCAAATGCTTACTTGCAGGGATTGACATTGGATGTATTGAACCCCTTCTTGCATCGACAATGAGACGCATCATTCACGCGCTCTCGTAACTGGAACTTGTGGCGCAGTCAAACGTCCATCCTACCACACCTTCATATTTAGGCGCAGAGCCTCATAACTTCCCGTTTCCATAAGAGCCATCCATTCTGTTGCGGACCTAGGCTTCCCGGCTTTTTCAGAAACCGCATTTCGCTGACTGACACTGCCCATCACTTCCCTCTGTGCCGCTGTCCTCTGGTGAAGAAAGTTCCTTGGAGGCTTACGCTGGTAAACCCACTCTACAGCAAATGTATTGAGCTTGTAGGGAAGAGTTGCAGTCTCAGCATGGGTTTGTCGACACACGAAGAGGAGGTTGAGCGGTTGTCGAACGTAGTGTGGCCGACAATCCTCATGGAACTTGAACTTCCAGCGCGGAGTACACCAGAAGATCTCAATAGTAGGCTGTGTAAGGGCGAGGGCAAATATCTGATTGCGGAGCTCAGCGGGCAAGCTCAGAAGCGGTGATTTGGTGTTGCGCTGGGTGCTGGAGAGAAGGGTCAGTGTATTTCATCGATTTCGTGATCGCAGGTAGCTCACATTTGATCGCGATCGCTCTCTGACTGCTCGTCTGACACCGACATATCGATTTCGACGTCACTGCTGATTGCCGTGAAGTTGGTCGACGAAGACTTGAAGTTCAGGGTTGTAGAAGAGAAGAGGAATGGATCAAAAGAAGTATACATAAGAGTCTGGTCATTGCGCTACCAAGGGTGATTACGAAACTAGTCCCACTTCGGGTGTACCCGCGAGAAGGCGCGACCACTGCACCTTGTCAACCGCCACCTCGTGGCAACAGAAATATGTTCGTGTCCTCACATTCCATACTCTCAAGGAGGCTAGATCTCGGCCGTGGCAACCAGCGCTCCATCCATACTTTCGCAGACCCCATGTATACTGTATGTTTGCCTCCAAACTCGTCAACGGACCATACTTTCTCCATGACCTCCCTCTGCGTTGCGGTCAATCTCTCGACGAAGTGCATTGGATCATGCCAATAGTACCGCTCATACCCTTCTCTTATCCTCTCCCAGGGCCTGTTCAATTCGATCACCCATGTATTGACTTTATACGGAAGCAGTGCGGTCTCGGCGTGGATTTGGCGACACACGAACAGGAGGTTGACGGGGCGCTTGAGGTGGTTGAGACGCTTGGAATTGCGGACTGGGCGCTTTTTCAGCTTGAAGGAACAAGACCTCGCCGAGAAGCTGATGGGGTTGTAGAAGATGTTGCAGAATTGCTTGTAGTGGTAGCGATATTCGAAGCCTCGGCGTTCAGCTTGTTTAATCTTCCAGCGATGAGAGCGCTCTGGAAAGGTTATCGGGATGTAGCCGTGATTGAGGGCGAGGGAGAAGATGTGGTTGCGGATCTCGGGGGGAAGACGGAGGAGTGGGGATGAGGTAGCGTTGCGCTCGGTGCTAGCGAGACTTGTTAGCTGACAGTGTTGAATTATAGAAGGCTTTGACGAACATGTCGTCTCGACGTTCATTCGAGCGGTTCGTCGTCCCATACTTGGTGCGCTGCGTTTTCGAGGTCGACATACTGGAGTCGGACTCTGATTGGGCGAGCTGAAGGGCGAATATTTGAGATCAGGGGAGGAGTATGAGGCAATGGAAGTAAACCCAGAATGAGTATATACCGTTTGGGAAAGTGCGCTAGGTACGAAGTGACAAGAAGTGAAGGAACTTGAGTATTACTACTCGACACGAATAAAAGGACCGCTCATTGACAAGTAATCTCGCCATTGTTGGGAAATACCCAGAGCCTCTGCTGTGCCCTAGACAGCCCTTAAGACTTGGGAAGCCTCGTAGCTAAGAGGACAGAATTAAAAATCTTCAATCCAGCCCACACGTCACTCCAACCCAGCCTGACACATGGCCATCCATTCAGCCGCCGAGAACACCAGCTTCCTACCGCTATTATACGGGTATTCGCGTGGCACTGCTAGCATAGCCGCCCTTTGCGCAGGCGTTCAGCACTTCAGAAACTTGTACAAGGAGATTGTGTGGATCTTTATACATGAAAATGTGTTCAGCAAGTAGGGGAGAAGGGCAGTCTCCACATAAGTCTGCCGACAAACGTAGAGAAGGTTGACCGAGTTCTTGTTCTTGAGCCAGGCGCCGTAGTTCCACTTGATATCTCCCTGAGTGAGGGCAAGGGCAAAGATGTGATTGCGGAGTTCGGCGGGGAGGCGAAGGAGAGGAGAGTCTGCGTTGCGCTGGGAACTGTCGTCTTTTGTCAGTCACGGTTACTTCGTCTTGTCTGCGGCAAGCTCACATCTCGTCCCGGGTAGTGGCCGCATGAGAGGCAGTCGTAAGCTCAGTACTGTAGTCGGGAGTGGGATCGACGCTGTCGCTATGTGTCAGTCCTCATTCCCTCTTGACGACGGCAATTGACGTACATCTCGTTGGAAATCGGGTGGGCGAGAGGCGCGAGATCAGGCTTGGCGCCCTCGGAGTGCTTTTTCGGACTCGACATGCTGTAATCGAGGCTTAAATCTTGGTCACTGGAGCGGATGCGTATGTTGGAGACATAACGAGAGAGTAATGGAACAGGGTAGAAACTGTAGATATCTACACTGCGTCAGTGCGTCAAGCATAACGCCAGTGAGAAGGCAACAACGACTCCTTCACTTCCATGAGAGACTTCCGAGCACCGCAATTTCCCCCCAGAAAACCCCCCGCTAAGATCCAGGTTTCCAGTCAAGCCAATAGACCCACGACGGGTCCCCTCTCGTACTCAAACATGATACCCATTCAGTCGCAGACATACGCCTATAGAAGAGCCATCTGCGCTCCCAACGCGTCTTGACGTACTTCCATCTCCTAATTACATCCTGCATGAGCTCTATCTGAGTAGCCGTCCGTCGCTTGAGGAACGCGACTAAGCTGACGGGCCTGCTTCGGCAGATCTCGAAGCTGTTTAGCTTATACGGCAGGAATGCCGTTTCGGAATATATCTGACGACAAACGTAGAGAAGGCTGAGTAAATTCTTGTCACGCGACTTGACCACGTAGGCGCATGAGTCTGGGGGACCGAGAATGAATATCTCGTGGTAGAGGGCGTAGGCGAATATCGAATTTCGTAGCTCGGGGGGCAGGCGGAGGAGGGGCGAGGCGGCTGCATTGCGCTCGGAGCTTGAGGCTGTGTGTTAATTCTGCCAATCGTATCCTGCAATGTAACTTACATGTGCGTTCGCATCAGCCGCCTTTGACATAAAGGATTCATGCTTTTCTCTAACCACTCCTTCCGTTGTGCGCGAGTCGCCATTTCGGTGGAATTCGCTTGGCTGCAGCGTTAGTTGACACAGATCGAGGGTTCAACTGCAGGTAATAAGGGTGAGTGATTAGCGTGATTATACCCGTCACGTACATCACGCCAGGCAGCGAGTGGAGACTCCTCAACAGGGCTCTTTCGAGCCAAGCAGGAAATTACCCTTGAGATCTACATTGCTCTAGCAATGAGCTGAGATGTTCTGATTACGTAGTGAGGAGGTCATCGATGTCCAAGTTGTGAGTGGCTGGAGTTCCGAAAGTAAGGTGTGAAGGTATACAGTAACTCCTGGAATTCCCTACATCCATCGAGAGCACACCGAAGGTATCCAGGCCCACCCATTGTACCTTGATCGAAACAATGTCCAACCCATGAAGGAGCGCCACCTCACCATGCCCACCAAACCGGATCAATCTCATGATTAGCAATCATCTCCACCCACGCCGTCGCCGCCCGCGGTTCTTCGTCATGGTAAAACTGCACCTTATCCATCACATACCTCTGAGCCTCAGAGCGCCTACTCAAAAAAGTCTTGAGATTTACAATGGGGTCGTGGCCCCCGACGACAAATGTGTTGAGCTTGTATGGGAGGAGAGCAGCTTCCGCGTAGATTTGTCGGCAGGTGAATAGTAGGCCGAATCGCTCTTGTATTGGGTAATTCTTCAACTTGGGCTCCAGCCAGGTCTTTCCGATTTTGGGACGGATTGTCCCGTGGTCGAGGGCGTATGCGAAGATCATGTTTCTTAGCTCGGGAGGGAGGCGGAGAAGCGGCGACTCGATGACGTCGTACTGAGCGCTGTGAGTGTCGGGCTGTTCACTAATTCTCTGAGTTAATGGGGTGGCTTGAACGCTGTGTATCGCTCGACTAACATTTTGGGGCTGGATTTTCGCGACCGGCGAATCACTCGGCGTGGGAGTTTTGACTTCTTGCTTCTAAGCAGCATATCTGACTTGGTTATGCTGACTGTATTGGCGATTTTGAAGCAGACGCGACCTTGCTTGCTGATGGTCGGAGGTAGTGCTTGGCGGGGGAGAGCGGAAGGTAAGCGACCTAGGTTAGTGCGCAACACGTGACGGCGGTCAAATGAGAGTGGTCACAATCATCAGAGACTGGGAGTGCTTCGAAAGCTCGTTCGGCTGGGTTATATAGCTATGTCAAACCCTCAATATGACCTTAGGCTTTCGTTAATCTGTGGATCTCTTCAAAGTAAAACTTTAGGTCGTCTGGCTTAACGAATGGTGTGATACCTGCGAGCTGTTAGGACAATGCGACGTCTTACGTAATCCATGGCTTGACTTACCGTGTCCAAGGTTGGCAATCCATCCCTGCTTGCCACCGCCAAAGCCAGCGACCATCTCCTCTACTACCTTTGTGATGGACTCCTTGGTACCGTACAAAACACCCGGGTCGGCATTACCCTGCAGAACCTTGCCCTTTGCCTGCGCAATCTTGTATGCTTCCGCCGGCGCATGTAGCCAATCGAGGCCGATGGTGTTGTACTTGGTGTCACAAAGATCCGACAAGGCGTACCACGCTCCCTTCGCGAAGACGGTCATAGGGACGGGCTCGAGGCCCTTGGACTGGAGCCGCGCCGGGAGGTTGTCGGCGATGTAGTTGAGGTATGGCAGCGCGAAGGTCTTAAAGGAGGTTGGCGATAGCTCTCCCGCCCAGGAATCGAAGACTTGGATCATCTGCGACAGTCAGCATCGGACCGATATGTTTTGGCAGTGCCACGTACCTGTGCACCAGCCTGAACTTGAAGAGCCAGGTACTCCACGCAAAGCTCGGCAATCTTCTGTAGCAGCGCCTTGCTCTCCTCGGGGTACTTGTAGATCCATGTCTTGGTCTGGATGAACATCTTGCTGCCACCGCCTTCGACCATGTAGCACAGCAATGTCCAGGGCGCGCCACAGAAGCCAATCAGCGGCACTCTTCCTGCCAGCTTTTGCCTAGTCATGGTGATGGCCTTGTAGACATAGTCCAACGATTCGGCAACATCCACCTTCCTCTCAAGAACCTCTTTGTACTGCTTGTCCTCTGGCGTTTGCAGCGGCTCAGGGAAATGCGGACCCTTCTTGTCCACCATTATGACTTCCATTCCCATTGCTTGCGGAATGACGAGGATATCTGAGAAGATGATGGCGGCATCGATAAGGCCTTCATAGCGCTCAATGGGCTGGAGGGTGAGGGTGGATGCGATTTCGGGGCTGCGGCAACATTCGAAGAAGTCGTTCTTGCCTTTTGCCTCGTGGTATTCCGGCAGGTAACGGCCAGCTGTACGATATCAGCATTGGTGAGGTGTCTTCATTAGGTATGCTTACCTTGGCGCATCACCCATATCGGTGGGCGCTCGACCTTTTCGCCTGTTCAGTGTCAATAAGCTGTACGTTGCTGCCCGATTGAGGCTATTGACCTCGTGCTGTGCGCAGAATGAGGTCATTCTTCATGGGCTCGAATTGGGGTGCCATCTTGTTGTGGATGAAGTAAATGTCGGACGTCAATGACATCGGCGTCGTAACTTTGTTCAAGCTCCGGATACCCCGCGCGTGCGGATTGGGCGCTAACTGCATCGAGACGCGTTCCTGCATCTCTACCACCGCGCTATCCCCACATCTCCCTGACGCAAATCTCATCCGAGGATGCTCTCCAGACATGTCCGATGTCTAACGCGTCAAGATCTGGCGTGCCGAAGAGCTTCACATCAGCTCACCCGGAAGGTTTGCAGCACCGCTTGTATCCGCCCACTCTCAAGCTTGACGCGTCCGATCACGAAACCACGTGCGACACCATTCGTCGGTCAAGCATGCTTCCCGGTGTCGCAATGTCGTGGCGCAAAAAGGAAGTCTGCCGTGACACTTGACGACCTCCAACAAGGACCTCTGGAGGCCGAGGCACTACCACCCCAAGATGATGCCGAACCGGAATACCCTCCGCTGTTACAGCAAGTGCGCAACAACATGCTCAAGTTCAGTCACTGCGTCTTAGTCACACGTGTCGGTGGCTTCTATGAGGCAAGCATGCAAGTCGTGCGACATGTCCCGAGCTAATACAGGCTGCAGCTGTACTTCGAGCATGCGGACGAATTTGCGCCCTTGCTGAACATCAAAAAGTCCAAGAGGAAGGTTTCAAGAGGTAGCAAGAAGCCCGCCGTCTCTATGGTCAGTAGTTCAATTCGGCGACCTATCATGAAACTGACACCGCCAGGCAGGCTTCCCCGCATACCAACTGGACCGGTACCTGAAGATTCTCGTCCAAGACCTCAACAAACATGTCGCTATCAGCGACGAGTATCTCAATGATGCACCGACAAAGGCAAAGGGAGAACCACAGTACACCAGGCGAGTGTCGCGCATCGTTACACCAGGTACACTGATCGATGAACATTTCATGGACCCATGGGAGAACAATTATCTTCTCAGCATTTACGTCAATCCCGAAGTACTTACGCAAGAAAAGGCTGTGAAGGAGAGCCCTGGCAGTTCGATTGTCTCTTCTGTTCTCAACTTACCCCGTACAGAGGTCGGCCTGGCCTGGATTGATCTGTCAAGTGGCGACTTTCTCACACAGAGCACAGACATCGCGTCCTTGCCGTCCGCAGTAGCCCGTATCAAACCCCGAGAAATTGTACTAGACAGCATCTTTCAAGAGCAGGATAACTCGCGTTTCGTTTCGATCATGCAAGAAGACGGACATGTCATCACATTTCAGGAACCCTCAGAAAAGCCGCTCACTATCGACGACTGGATACCGATGTTGGAAGACGTCGTGGAAGACTTTGACACTGCCAACTTCACTCCCGGTGAAGTCGCAGCAGGAGGCTCGTTGTTACATTACGTCAAACATCAACTGCTTGGTTCGAGAACACGACTGCGCGCGCCAGTACGACACCAAGCCGAGGAGTACATGAGTATTGACAAGAACAGTCTGAGAGCGCTAGAGATCCGAAACACGATCCGCGAGGGTACTTATGAAGGAAGCTTGCTACATGCACTCAAGAAGACGGTCACCAAAAGCGGTACCAGACTGCTTACGGAGCGCTTGTGTAAGTAGCAGCACACCAGTAAATCCGATCCATCGCTAACACATCCGAGCGGCGCCATCAATGTCGTTGTCAACTATCAACGATCGACTTGACCTCGTAGAGGAGACCATACAGTACCCGCAGCTCCGTCAGGACATCATCTTGCTCTTGGAGCAAACTTTCGATTCTTTACGATTGGTGACGAAGTTCACATATGGCCGTGGCGACGCGGATGACCTCATGGAGTTGTCGAAGACCATCCTTGTCACCTCCAGTATAGTAGACGTCCTTCACGAGCACGCAACCTCGAGGAACTCCATCCCAGTCGATACAGCTTCAACCACATCGGATATTCGAAGACGACAGTGCGTTTCTATGTTAGAGCGTCGATTCGATCTAGCGCAACCGCTTGAACTCGCAAACCGCATACAGCATGCGATCGACGAAGACGGCCTCTCCGAGTACCACCGCATGGAAAACGAAGAAGCTGAAGAGATGTCCGACTTGGCCCAGGATGTGATCGGTCGAGAGGCTGGAGAAGAAGATCTGAAGAGCTTGCCGAAGCGCGTTCAGCCGAAACTTACGATGATCACTGGGAGCTTCAAGAGTGCGACCGATGGACGGGAAGATGTTCACATCATGAAGCGCAATGCTAGCGCGACACTTGAACGCCTTCACAAGAGCTTGGACAAGATGACAGAAGCAAAGGCCACTTTGGAACAAGAGATGCGTCAAAAGATGGGTACAGAAAGCTTGGTGTTGAAGTGGACCCCGAACCTCGCGCACATTGCTCACGTTAAGGGCAAGGACGCAGCTCGCGCTACTGCCTTTTATCCAAGAAGCTTGAGTAGCAGCAAGTCTACCCGCTCATTCCAAATCCCGGAGTGGACTTCACTGGGTGCGCAGATGGACGAGACACGATTCCGCATACGATCAGAAGAACAACGTGTTCTCGGCGAGCTGCGCGAAGGTGTCGTCCAGAACCTTGTGAAACTTAGACGTAACGCCGCCGTGCTCGATGAGCTTGATGTCGCATGCGCATTTGCTACACTCGCGATGGAGAAAGACCTCATCAGACCCACACTGAGTGCAGAGCCATCGCATAATATCGTCGGTGGTCGGCATCCTGTCGTTGAAGCTGGCCTCAGCGAACAAGGCCGCAGGTTCGCCCCCAACGACTGCCAACTCGGCGATAATGAGCGCATCTGGCTCATCACCGGTCCGAACATGGCTGGCAAAAGTACATACCTCCGCCAGAATGCGCTCATCTCCATCTTAGCGCAGACTGGATCTTTTGTCCCAGCGGAGTACGCAGAGATCGGCCTTGTCGACAAGATCTTCAGTCGCGTCGGCTCAGCAGACAACTTGTACCAAGATCAATCAACCTTCATGGTTGAGATGTTGGAGACGGCTCAGATACTCAAAGAGGCTACACCGCGCTCTTTCGTCATTATGGATGAAGTCGGGCGTGGGACGACACCCGAGGACGGTATCGCGGTCGGGTACGCCTGCCTCCATCACCTCTATCACGTCAACCAATGTCGTACGCTTTTCGCAACACACTTCCACGCGCTCGCGGATATGACAAAGAATTTCGAGAAGTTGGCTTGTTACTGCAACGATGTCCTTGAAGAGCCAGACGGCAAGTTCTCATACGTGCATCGGTTGAGGAAGGGTGTCAACCGCGAGAGCCATGCGCTGAAGGTTGCGAGAGTTGCTGGTAAGTCGTGCGCTTCGGAAGTGCACTTTTGGCGATAGTTGCTTACAGTATGCAGGTCTTCCTGAAGATGCCGTCGCGATCGCAGCGAAGGTACTAAAAGAACTCAAAGGACGGACGAGCGATGCTGGGGTGGCTTCGGCAGCTATCTAGCGACGACATTAGGTCAAGAAGTAGATAGATGCAACATGACTGGGCGCCCGGGAGTTGGCATTGCATGATACCAATCATAAATGTCAGCCATCCTTGTCTTGTAGTCACTAAACGAACATAACATTTCACGTCCTCTCCGAATGTCGTAAGCGTATGCTCCTGACAGACGTACCTATCTTGTGTCGCAAAGTACGAATGTGACGTCATCGACAGGAATAGCAATACCCGGCAAGACAACTATCGATTTGGTGTTACTATGCGCATGCAGACCTGGATGGGGTCTAAACCGTGTTGTCCGTCACGGATTCGTGACACCTCGCTTGTATTGATGACGCAAGGCCTGGAGGCCTGGAATTCAGCGTTGAGGGCCCGTTCCTCTACAGAATCACCACCAATTCTGAATGTCGGTACGTTGGACCATCCTAGGTCCCAGGTTTCGAGGATATTGTCGCAGACATGGCTGATGCTGCCCAGATGTAGGGAAACGCCGTCGGATGCAACGATAGCGCGGTAGCTGTTCTTGGTGCGGTACCAGCCAGTGTACTTCCTTAGAGTCGTGCGCGAAAGGATCGGAGTAGGGTAGATGTGCATCGTGATGTTGGGTATGCTCGTCGTTGGAAGGAGATGGCGACGTCGAGGAAGAAGAGCAACAGACGCGTTGGATTCAAACGCGTCAATGTCCTGTGGACGAACGGATTCTGCGCTCACTTTCACATTCCGCGCTCATTTCCTCTTGCACACCGGCTTCTCCTTTTGCACTCTGGACGGAAGGTCCACGTGACATCAACATATCCCGCTTGGCGCTGTCTCCGCGTGGGTTTGGCGACACACATACTGTAGAGGAGGTCGATTGGAAGCGATGCATACCTAGGTAGTCTGGGCAATGCGTGTCTGGTACAGCAACGGGACGACACAGGTCTACCTGGTCCTGCGCAGACATGTATGCCCTGCTTGCGTCTCTCTGGAAATAGATGTGACAGCTTCCAATGCGCTTCCGGCAAAACCCAAATCTAACCCTCTTTCGCACTCGAATCCCCTTGATACCCACGAACATGCCACGGACCACGCTACTCCAGCTGCAATCAACCCAATCGCATCACTTCGTCTATGAAGCATCTCGCACATGACCCAGAAAAGTCCGACCTGCACGCGTCAACAACGCTATGAGATGTAACAGCACTATCTCGTGACGCCGTGCGATATGCGCGGAATCGCTCAATCGAGCTCTTACAGAGGGGTTGGTGCGACACGAGCACTCTACTTGCGGGAGTGATCGACTGTATATCGAGTCGGTGTTACATGAGAAGATGTGGGAGGACGTGGTCGTGCAGGATCAAGACACGCGCAGATGCAAGCTAGCATGCGAGGGGCCCAGATAGCTGATGAGCGCAGTATTGTCTGGTGATTGATGGGATGTAGTGACTGCGGGAGCAGCGGTTCGTCCTTTTTTACCCCACACTTACACGTCTGCACGCGTTAGGAAGGTGTCAGGAACGTCATTTCCTTTGTTCGGAACAATTGCATTGTATCCTCCCTTACCCATTAGATCACCCCTTCACCAATCCACCCTTTTCCTTGACCAGAAAAAGTAATCATCGCAATCCCGACAATCATGGGTGGCGCACCCGTTACCCCACCATCGTCATCGTCGGCGCAGGCCCCACCACCGCAGCCTGAAATCGTAACATCGGATATCACACTTCAGGCGCCGCTGTCAAGGCGAGGGAAGGGGCCGGGTCTGGTGCTTGTGTTGAATCATTATGCGGCGAGGGAAGCGAAAGAGGGGTGCTTGGATCCGCCGCCGTTGAAGAAGTGGGCGGAGGAGGGGTTTGCGGTTGTGCAGGTATGTTGGAATATCTTGGTGAAGTGAGCATGAGAATGGACTTATGGAACATATCGCGTGATGAATGGCGAGGAAGGTATCGGCTTCATGCCAATGCTGACTACTCAACAGCTGCTGGTTCCAGGCAAAGTCGACGGCGAATTTCCTCTCCAGAAAGCGCTGGACGTATTGAAGAGTTGTGAGCAATGCGACTTCGGCAACGGTGTCGGACTGATATGTGCGTCGACTCCCACTCGCATCGCGTACGGTTACCCTAGCCGCATACTAACAAGCATCTCCAGCATATCTATCAAGGATTCCCTACTATCTCGAAGAAGCTGCCTGTCAGAACCCCGCGATCAAGGCTCTCATCTCTTACGGCGGCAAAAGCCTTTCCACACTAAGCTCGACAGCACTGCCACCGCAACTAATACACGTCGCGGGGATACCAGACCCTCACCGCCGCGAGTCATGTTCATTAGTCCCAGAATCATACCCGGAGAAACCGGTGCCATCCCCGGAGAACATCATCAAGACATACCGGTACGAAGATGCGACAAAAGATTCTGAATGGGTACTTCCAAGCGACGAGCACTACCACAAGCGAAGCGCGGGCATTGCGCATACGAGGAGTCTGACCTTCCTAAAGCCGCTGCTCGGCGGCCCTTTCTTCGATCTGGAGGCTGTCTGGGAAGAGCACACCAAGTTCGAGTTCGGCGAGAGGGATGTGGAGAGGACGATGGCTACGATGGTGGACCAGCCATATGTCAACCACATCCCGACTATGACGTACGTATCCCTCCACCACCATCGTCCAATATCCGCATTGCAGGTAGATACTGACCACCCACCAGCGGAGGCGTAGGCCAAGAGCGACTCACTGCTTTCTACACACACCACTTCGTTTTCAGCAACCCACCCGACACCGCCCTCGCACTCGTGTCCCGAACCGTAGGCATCGACCGTGTAATCGACGAGTTCATCTTCACGCTTACCCACACCAAAGAAGTTCCCTGGCTACTCCCTGGTATCCCTCCCACCGGAAAACCCTTAGCCATTCCGTTCACCAGCGTTGTTGCTATGCGCGGTGATCGACTGTATCATGAACACATCAGCTGGGATCATGCGACGGCGCTGAAACAATTGGATCTGCTTCCGGAGTACGTGCCTTTCCCGTATGCGATCGAAGGCGCAGCGCCGCCGAAGGGAAAAAAATTCGAGGTAAGACTGCCTGTCGTGGGCATGGAGGGGAGTAGGAAGTTGGTGGATGAGAGTTGTGAGGAGAGTAATGGGTTGATGAGTGGAAGGTGGCGGATGGTCGACGATGTATGATGGCAGTGAGATCATGAGAATGACGCCTGATTTGAGGAATATATCGGGGCTACGTATCTATGATAATACAAGGCGTAGGGTTCCGCGAATACATGCACTCCCGCACCTTCCTCATACAAGCTTCTCACGTCCCTGACGAGCATCTCGACCGCTGTTAGCGCATACAGGTGATAAGGGGTCAATGCGTGACGGAATGCCGTCGTCTTCCTCAAGGCTAAGGAGATCTGGAAACGGAACGCAGCTTCGTCGAAGACATCCTCATCCTGGAAAGAGCTTGACGCTACCAGCATCCAACCCAGATACCTTCAACACACCCTGCCATTGCCTCAGCATTCCAGAGTCGCCTGGCCACGACATCACGGACCACGAAAAGCGTCCCTCATGCCCCTCCCATACGCCACGAAGAGCAGCATGTCTCTTGCAAGTACGTCCTTGAACTTCTAAAAGTCTAGGCGAACCTACTGTCGCCGCCAGGTTAGATTTGGCGTACGCCAATATGCTGTGAAGATCCTTTGTCTTCGGGAAGACGAGCGGAGACATACCCCATTCTGTCCTAAGGATAACTTGTCGGAGGCGGAGCCGGAGACGTTCCTTGCCCATCTCGATGAGCCTGACGAACTTTCCCACATCCGTACATACCAGGGTGTTGTGTCGAAGCTCGAAATTCGTTGCTTCGTCAGCGAATTCGCGATACACTTCGTTAATGCGATTGATGGACATTCGTGAATGACCATCAGTGATGTACGTGACGAAGAGCAGCATGTCTTTCGCAAGTACGTCTTTGAAGCGCCAACAAGTCAAGCGGATCTTGATCGTAGTCGTATCGGCTTCGATGCTGTGCAATGGCTGGCAGACGACATCAGAGTCAGCCCGTATCCAGATCGATGGGCGAGGCAAGAATGCCACATACGCTGACTTTGTTGCTCAAGAATGCGAACAACAAACATCATTTTAGAGACTACAAGCTTGTATCGGTATTCCTACAGAAAGCCGGTAAGTGGCTGTATGCTGCAACGCTCTATGTCTGTCTTACGTATGCGTCGTGAAACTTCGCTTTCTTCCTCAAGCAACACCGGTAAATGGTGAAGACTCAATGAAAAAAGTTATCTTCTCATATGACACACTAATGAGGATCTGGACGGGGAGTGACCTTGGGCGAACACGTACCCGCGAGGTCGCAACACCCAGCAGGACAGAGCAAAGAGAGACACTGTTTGATCCTGCTTACCTGACTGACCCGGTAAGACGTGACGCGCCGGGGCGTATTGTCGAATTGTCATCCACGCGACGAGTCCAGCTCGTCGAGTTTACAGTAAACCGCGATTGGTTACTGGCTCAGGGTGCCAGTCTCATCGACGGTGCATTATCGTCGGACCAGCCGCTCTCATAATGTCGTCGGCTAGGGTCCTGCACGCTCGATACACGTGCATTCTCCTGCTCATGCGAAGTGTAAGTGAAGTGGAGCCGGCCACTTGACTTTCCCGCACACTGCACCACTTCACGCTGGACGCGGTCGGATGCCACCAGGGCGAGCCACGATGCTGGGGTTCAGCCGACCTGACTCATTCCCTGGTGTCGATGATGTCTGAAAAGATGGAGAGGCGATTGGGGAAGTCGCAAGCGAAGTGCCTGATGTGTTAATACTAACTGTGGAAGGGAGAGGGACTTACCGCGATCTCGTTTCCGATGGTGGACAATAGAAGATTGACAGCGAAGACGCGCATGTTGAGCGTGGAGCGCTGTTGAGTGTTGCCCCGGCGCGGTCTGGTGTTGGAGGAAGATGGAGAGAGAGAGGTGAAGCAGTAGATAGACGCATGAAGCTTTGACCACACGCCAAGGCGATCCA